AGGAAAGAAAAAAGAAGCCACCCGAGGGCTCGCTCGGGGGTGGAAGCAATTCGAAAGCACGGCATTTTGCAAAAGAAAATGTGATGATGTCGATGTAGAAGGAAGAGGAGAAAAGGATGGATGGAAGGGGGGCAGAGTGTTTAAATAGGGGCAAGAAGTGCGCCCAGGCATCCCATAAGCAAAGTCAGCGAAAAAAATGTATAGGTACTCGGAGCACAACTACATTCCCCAAATCATGTTGTTTACCCCCCAATCCGGATGGCTCTTCCATAGGCCGCGAACCTCCCTCTACTGTCCTGGATACGCGTAACGCCCGGCAAAAAACAAGCCTCGTACATAGCTCAGGTCTTGCCTCACACCTACCTGCACACCCTCACCAATCTCAATCGGTACGCAGTTACCATTTTGCAATTTCTTCTCCGGAACGTTATAGGGCTATCAGACGAGATAGTCAATAACTAGGTCGATTAACCACTAATGAGACAGCGAATACCGTGCTCATTAATAACAGCGGGCACCAAGGATTTGCACCCACGATATCCAAACGCAGCAACAGTGGCTAGCAACCTGAACTGTGCCATTCAGACAGTCGTTGTGCGGATAGTTTGAATTCCGTGAATGAGTGAGATCACATGACTCTAGAAAACACAAAAGTTTAAGCTTACAAGCCAACGAAACGAAAGAACGACAGCAAATATTTCGAATCCCAAATCGCAAGTCCCGCGCACCAGTTTCCGAGCCACTCATCCTAGGCCAAGCATTCCAATCTCACGACCCTTTCACGGACCCGTACATGATACTTTCCCATAGAAACAGCGGTACTGCCCCCAATACAATCCAAAAAAGCTCGCCCCTACCCCGTAGACTCCAAACCACCAGCACACCTCGGACCAAATTCAATCAGGGTTCTCCCCCCCGTTCTCTCAAGCAGGCAAACGAGACAGACATTCAACAAACCCACCTTTGTTTTTGACTACATAAATCACCTGGCCAGCATGTGTGTAACCCTTGGCACAGGGATACCACCAGAGAAGTGCCGCATAAAGGAGTTAAAGTAGTTGGGATACTAGCCTCACCCTGCCGAAAACCCTTCTGACATATAAACCCGATACAACAGTAGACACCGTGGTACTGTACATGAGATTTCCGCAGATAGGTACAAACTTGCGATTCAAACCCAGTTCCTTTCATTCATATCTAATTCACCGTTCCCCCCCACTCTTCACAGCACAGCACATCTCCCGCTCACTGCTCGAGCAAATTTCGCCTGAAAAAGATATTATGGATTTTTTCTTTTTTCCAAAGCTACACTTAACTTACTCGCTGGTTCGTTTGCTACGCGGACAGTCTATACCCCTAACCCGTATATCCCACAAGGGAAAAATAGTGTGCTTTCTTAAAAGAAAAGAAAGATATTCTCATCTGCCCAACAACCTCCTCATGTCCAAAATCTACTCTTAATAAGCAATTATTCCGTAATAGTTTTCAATTTCCTCGTTGTGGAGAGTTTAAACCAAGTCTTGTATAGCGAGATTGGTGGGTTAGGGTTGTGGGCTGCCCGCATAGCAAATGAGCCAGCTGGTTGGACCCTCGCCCCAAGTTACACTGCTAATTGTGTGCGTGAAAAAAACACACATTCCTAGGCATGGGAAAATTCCAGGTTATTAAAATTTCCGACTAGTACCTTATGACTTATGCGGGGTATCATAAGCCGAGCTGGGATTTTGAGCTACTGGGCCCATGAAGCGCCATGGCAATGATATCGGAGCACGGGCTCTAGTAGAATAATAGAAAAATATGGTATTATAGGATCCCCCGTCCCTGCCGCCCACAACCCTCAGCCCCTCTAGTTTCCCTCTTCTGAAAGCCCTACCATGCTTCTAGTATGATAGGGTACACCCCTTGCCAACCTGGTTATCTTTCCTAAGTGGGATATGCATTGCGATTTTCCTCACTAACATATGATACCAAACACGCTTTGAGGATCTAGTTGAAAAACAGGGTATTTTATTCCAAACATACGAGTTTTTCAATTTCCACCCCGAACCAAAGTCATTGTTCTGCGGAGCTCCAGTGACTAAAGGAAAAACCTTGTTTTTGGTGTCCGCTATTCTCTAGCTCTCTAGGGTGGTCTCCCCCGCCGGTCGGACAATTTCCCCCAACTCTCAGCTTGTTACTTCTCACACTCACCCCTTCCACCAAATTGGGGTCCTAATGGAGAGCAGCAGATATTATGACAGTCCATGTTCTCCTTGCTAATCTTTATTTCCTCTTGTTGGCCTTCCTAGTTTTGTTAATGGGGCCGGGCCAGTTGGCACAGATGGAGGGCTTAGACTACTACGGCCAGGTAGCTTTAGCATATAACTACGCTATTCATTAACCGCCTCTTTCAATCTGTTCACTTTTAATAAACCTTCTTTGTATATATGCTTCAATCGCTTCTGACATGAGCAACATACACCGCGAGGGCCCAGAATGGGCAACACTTCATGGGATAGTATGTGAAGGTGTGTGAAGGTAGGGCTACCCTGGTCAAAGACCTTCGCACCGCACTTAAGGGGATGGCTGCCTGTCTGGTATTAGATAGCTAGGGCCTAAATGCATACAGGAAAGCAGCACTTTAACGCCGCCACGAGAAGCTCACATCTATTTGTACCACACGAGTAATCTCCGACTGAAAGTCCTCTGGTTCTCGGGCCGCCTGGATTGGCTGCCGCTCCGCCGCACCGAGCGGGCAGCAGCGGACCATGTGGTTTAATGCCCTCACAGGTCTAGTAACTAGCATAGCCTTTTTCTCAGTAGCTATAATACTAGAAACCCCCAGAACTTTAAGGGAAGCAGCTCGCGTACGCACAACCCACCCCAGAGCCATAGGTATCTACGAGACCCCATACCGGGCGGCGGTATTTTGAAAGTTGCGGTATTGCCACCAGTATATGACAATCCTAAGGCTTCCTTAGTGGGCCGTGGTCGCCTATACCGTGATGGTCGCCTATACCATGCGTGGCCGATTCTCTTTGTTTGCTTCATCCGTCCAATATCTCCACTGTTTTCTCAGAAATGTCTCTACCCCGGAATCTCTCTGAAGTCACCTGAAACCGCCGAATTCGGGCTCGGGGGCCTATTGCGCACAATTTACAGAGAAATTGATCGACGGTTTTATCAGTGGAGACTTTAGCGAACGGACGAGCGAACGGCGGCGGGCAATGAACGGCGAACGAACAGGGACGCGTGGCAACAGGCCACTCAAAAGTAAGCGAGTGATTAGCTGTGAAACGAAACCGCCAAGCTCACTCATTTGAAGGGATCGCACAACTCATGTTTAATACCATAAAGTTCGTAGCTAAACTAACTACAGGTCATGGCAGTGAAAAACTCTTCACTTCTCTCGTCCCTCCAAACACACACTCTCGCCCCTAACTATCACGCCCTCTCTAATAACTAACGGTAATGACAGGAATATATATCAACCACGAGCGACAAACGACAAAGTCCGATAACCCCCCCCTCTAGGTAAGTCCTCTGCATCCGCGCAAACACAAGCTAAAAAAGGCAGGCAGGCAAACCTCACGGCTGCCCAGGCCGACTCGCTAAGTCTCTCCCACCTTCCTCCCCAACTTGCAAACAAACCGCTAATGAAGGAAAGAAAAACTCCGCGGCTGTGCCCAAGCTTTCCCGCCTTCCCCCCGCCTGCACTCCGTCCGTGCTTTCCTGCCGTACGCTTTCCTTCCCAAAGCCACACTGCGCCCGTGCGTTCTTTCCGGCGGATTTCCAACCTCCACACGCTCCCGCCGCTGAATCCCCCCCCGAACAAGCAAAGAAAAGCTAACTCTTGTGCGAAAAAACAAACCAGCAAACCACTGAACGAGCGAACTACTAAAAAAAACACGGTAGAAGGAAGGGAACAATGGGGTAGGGGGAAGGAGAGAGGTGAAGGGAGAAGAGAGGGAAGAGGGAAAGCGAGGGTAAGGGGAAAGCTAGCATGCCGAGGAGCATCTCGCTATTTCCAACAGAAATCATTGCATCATGCTCTGCCGTTCACTAGTACACGACTGGGTTTTTGCGGAAGCAACTTACCATACAAGGAGTGCAGGTCTCGGGAAAGTTTAAATTATTATGAGCTACCAGTTCGTTATATAAGAATTTCGTGTGATGCCGTTGGTTGATCATGCACCTTTCCGGTACAGTACACGCGCAGTACTGTACTCGAGTGCTGCAACCATGCTGACTAATGATTAGTGTCCTCGTTTGGCGATCGTGGGGGGTATCATACCAATACCTGCCCCCCGGAATTGGTGTCCTAACCAATTCCTTCTACCCACTGCCAGGGCGGGCCCGGTTCCCCTTGGTCACGTGCTGTCCTGAACCCAGGATTCTTCTCCGGCTCCCGCTTGCGCCACTGGAGTTACATACAAAAGGTTTATGAGTCCAATGCATTTTCTGTTGTCCAGCGGAGCGATCCCCTCAGCGCCGGCAAATCCGATTTGACTGGGGAGATGGATCAGCCGACGAAGGAGGAAGTACCTTATTTCGGGCGGTGGAGATGGAGGAAGGGAATACATTTTTTTTGATCGATATTCGTAAAATAGTGGTAAGTTGCGTCTTTAAAGTCGGGGAAGTAAAGATCAATTTTCAAACCGTAAATAAATAAAATAGCAATTTTTTTCCCTTTCCAAAATCAATTCCAAGAACAGTCCAATCGGATCCCACTATGAGCAAAGAGACAATTGAAATTCATCCAAAGCCAAAGAAAAGTCATAAATCTCATAAAGCAAGATAAGGAAACAAGCAAAGACGGTAAAAAAACCCAAATCACATCCCATAACCGCCACAAATTGGTCCCAGAAACACCCATCTCAATCCATCAACTTGAAAGAAACCGTGGCAAAACTATCAAGATCGAGTGTCAAATTACCGAACCGAATCATATCCCGTAGCTTCAAAATCCACGCCCTAGTTCTCCGCGGGATTCCCGGGGAAGCATGATTTGATGCCTATTCCATACATGAGCCGGAAGGTTATCTTTTCTACTTATTCCCTTATCCCCAACCCTTTCGCATCCGGGAATCGGGCAGTCCACACGTAGATTGAGATGCACCGCCTCGCGATGGCGCGTCAAGGCCTGTCGCGTCGAGAACGAAGATGGCCAGGCACAACCGGGCTGGTCGCAAGAGTGATTCCTCCTCTCGGGACGTGTGTGCGGTTCACTATCGTGTGGTTAGCGAGGGAACGGGAGCCAGGGCATAAGTAACCGGCATTTGGGGCAGGAACACAGGGGGCAAAAGTTTGTATGTTAAATCATCTGTGCACACCTAAGGGCCCGCACCAAACTCGGACTCAAATTCCAGGGTTCTAAATGCCGGGTACTTATATAGGGTAGGGATTTGAGAGGGGGGTAACTGACCCGCTAAGATGGCTGCTAGAGCGCTGGCGATGATGAGGAGAGATGTGTGGGTGTTGTTGGTCAGCAAGGTGTTGGGTTTGGTTCGTTAAAGGGTGAAATGTAACATGATTCCCGCGATCCACGGGAGGGACAGCGACGTTAGAAGGAAGGATGGTGAGGTCCAAAGGACCGTTGACAGAGTAAAAGCCATCCTCATCAGGGTAAAGCGGGAGATCGCCAAGTTCCCTAGGTAGTGGGTGCGGCGCTCCGAATTCGTCGGACGAGACAAGCTCGAATTGGTGGGGTGCAGGCGCTGTTCTTTGCCGTTGTAATGGAAAAAACTAGCAAAAAAAGTGGAAAAACTTTCGCCTCGCTCATTTTTAGTGTGGCGTGGGAAGTCCCGTGCTATAATTACGTAATCCGCAGGACCAGCTCACTAACAGACAAAATGTCAACCGGACACATCGCTAAGGAGAGGGCGGAAGACCGGGTTATTTAACTTCCCACTCCAGCTAATTGCACTTGTCCCAAGTGCCATCACCTGTTTAACCTGCCCCTGAGCCCGAGACATTTTACACAGGCAATCCCGCCTTCTGTCAATGCAGCTTAGGTGGTGTCACAATGCGGAAGAGCCTAAGATATTGTCGAGAAGTGCACGGCCATGTGCAACTGAGCCGCAACTGCCACAAGGCTGCGCATCATGAATACTCGCACCTGAATATCCACTCGGGCAGCGGTGCCATACGTTAGCGGGTCTGTTTTGCCAGCTGTCATAGCAGAACAATAGAGTGCTGTGGATGATCCTGGGGGCGATGGGGGCCCGGTGGGTCGTTTGGGGTGGGTTTTTTTTAGCAGTCTATTGGTTTCCAGAGAATTTTTTCGAAGTGTCTCTCTATGCTATCACGGGAGTGTAAAGAGGAATAGGGACACGCATCGAGGAAGAGAGATATGTGTAGCGATCTCTGGAAGGATAGGAAGTCTTTGATTCTGTTTTGCATATGCGCCTGCCTTCACTACTCTTTTAGCGAGTCAGGGGATGAACGGGACAGCGAAGCTTCTAACCATAATCTCTTCCACACAGTCAGAGTCCAGAGCTATTTCCCCCACTATACCACTCCGCTACTTTTTAGTCCCACACACAACCGTTCGATTCTCTTCCCGTGACTGGCCAAGGAACATGCGTTACCTGAGGCACTGTTGCGGTAGTCCGAGGGGTCACTTAGAATTAGCTTAGGAAATATGCGCTGCTCCTTATCCTGAGCCTGAGTATGTGCAGAAGCAATCTCTCGGGAAGATCTATTGTATGCCCCTAGTCTACATTATGTGTCAAATACTACCGTAGTGATAACAAGTCTGGAGAAGAAGAGCCCTTACATTTGGTTCCCAGTCCGTTGAGTGGTCGGCTTTTTCTTTTCCCGTTATCTTGAATTCCCCAGAAAAAACAAGAGGTAAGTGGGGCCAGCTGGTATTAAACAAGAGAGTGTGTGAGGGCAAGAGAGACTATGATTGGACTATAGCGGTAGTCATTAGAAAGGATGGGATGATCAGGAAATGGTAAATAGTAGGGAATAACTGACTCCATTGCTTGACGCTTCCAACACCCCCTTTCCTTCCCCCCCTCATCCTGTGTTCTCTGCTATCCTTCTGAGGTGCCCATCGGGAGGCAATCCTATTCCGGACACCTTAATCGCACAACAAACGCTTGCAAAAAAAGACCTTCCAATTGTGCGATATCCCCCACAGCACCCACCCCACCTCCTCTATCCTTCTCCCTTTCTGCGATTCCCGTAGCCATATCAGCATAGCACACCACCTGCCAAGGTCGTGCTCGCTGCGAGCTATCTCGTATCGTGATATCCGGGCGGGTGCGACGGGGCTTGTTCCAGGGGTAGTCCCGGAAGCGGGTGTTCGATCAACATTGTACTGCACAGCTAGGAATGGAGTTAGCCTTGTATAGCCGAACGCTAGGAACAGTACTCAAGTTGCTAAATTACGAGGAAACTCTAAAACTTGGAGGAGGGCGGCTCCGCAAGCTGTGGTGATACCGTTTGCTTATATCTTAGTCTCGGGGCGCTCCTGGGGGATTGTGATACCGCTGGCTGTATCTTGCGGATTGTCATTTCCTCCTCACTCAACGTTTACAGGGGGTTGCTCATAGAAACGAAACTCCTTCGGAAGTGCTAGGAAGTGGCCCAGATCTCTATTTTCCGGACGAGGGAGATTCTTGATTCCTTCTCAAAAGTGCGGGACGTGGCTCTCCTCTCGCGAAACCACGGCACTACAGATTTCTATTCACTTGAATGCGCTTACGTGACTTATCCTGCAATCAAGTGTTGGATACGGGAAGGGTTAAATTCCCGGGAGAGTGACTTATCTATCGTGGGAGAATTTCTTGTCGTTCATTAAATTCGGTTAATCCTGGAGCTTTGCCAAACCGCTGCTGTTCTTCCTACCGACTAATGTCCTCACTTGGCGTTCGTAATCCGGATAAATAATAACCCGTCCACCCTGAGAGTCAACCGGTCCGGGGGGTGGTCCAAGAACAGTACAACTCTCACTCCCATGGTTGCCACCAAAGCCACTTTCAAAACACCTATCAGCATAACGCGCTTCCGCCTATCTACTGAGTGACCCCAGTGGCAACAGCGGGCCCGGTTCGGCTGGCATGATGGACTAGGAGACAAAGGGGGGGCTTCGCTTATGTGGATGCTGGAGAGAAGAGGGAGGGGGGAGGGGGGAGAAAACAAGTCATTTCAGAAGCCCAAGCCCCTCGGTTCCCCGCGTAGGTCCGTGCTACAGTGTAACAAGAATTTTTGGATTCATAAGGCCCCCTTATCTCCTACCGTAGCATAGTTATTATTTGCTCTCGGCGATATCCGAGAGAAGCGATATCCCTAGGTGAGGATAGTTGAGGTGAATCTTCAAAATTCCAAGCGGAGATAAACCATAGCTTAACTGTTTTCTTTTTTATACTTCCTCCAAACATAGTTCCAAGAACCGGTAGCCAGTAAGTAGCATACCAGCATGGGAGCCAAAAATAGATAACCTCGGCCAAAGGAAAATTGTAAACCCCGTAAAACAGGATGAGAAAATAGGAAAACGACAGGAAAAGACATTAATATCTCATCACCCCGAACCGACAGACCTCCTAGAAATACCCATCTCAATCCGTCAACCTAATATAAGCCATGCCAAAGCTAGTAGAATCCACGGCTACGATATCAGCCGCCTATTCCTCATGGTGTTTCCTGGGTAGCATGGTGTGATTTTTGTCCCACACATGAGCCGGAAGATCACCCTTTCCCCTGACCCTTATCCCCGACCTTTTCGCATCGAGGAATGCGAAAATCTACGCGTATGTTGAGATGTGTCGCCTCGCAGTGACGGGTCAATGCCTACGGCGTCGGGAACGGCAATGGTCAGGCACATCTAGGCTCATTGCACGAGTGACTACTCCTCTCTGAGAGAGCCTGTCGATCACTACCGGATGATTAGCGATGGGCATCTGTGAGTGGGGGGGTCGCAGACCTGCCAGTAGGGCTGTTTGAGAGCCGTCAATGGTGAGGAGAGATATATGGATGGTGGCTAGAAAGGGGTTGTGTTCGGCTCGTTGAATGGTGGAGTGTAATGCGATTTCCATGGTTTATGGGAGGGACAGTGGAGTTGGGACCCAGGATGGCGGGGACTAAAGGACTGTTGAGAGAGTCGGGGGCTCTGTCATTAGGGAGAAGCGGGAGATCGCTGAGTTCCTGGGGTAGCGGTTGTGGTGTTCTAGGTTCGTTGAATAACACGAGGTCGAACGCATGTTCCCTGCGATAGCAATCATACCCTATCGTGAGGTGGTTAGCCAAGGAGAAAAAGAAAAAGACCACCGAGTGGACCACCCCCGCTGTGGTGTGTGGGTCCCACTGCGCTCGAACACTGTAATTATGTAACCCGTAGTAAAAGCACATAAAGGCACGGGGGATGACCGAAACCTCTGCAGAGTGGAAAGGAGAACACTGGATTACTTGACTCCTCCCCTTCCAAGTAATTGCACTTGTCCGGACTAGGATGGTCCTGTCAATTTTCACTAAAGCCCGGGACATCCTATGTGGCTATGCCGCTAACGAATCATATTCCGGTAGGGCATTCGTGTGGCCTCCCTATGGATAAGAGCCTAGGAAATTGTCGAGGAGCCCCTGGATTCCGTGCAATGATAGCTCCTTAGCCAAGGAACTATGGAATTCAGGATGCTAATTTCGAACACGGGGGCGCAGGCCGGTGCCATACATTCTTGGGTCTCTTCGAGAAACAACCATTACTTTACACTCGGTAATGACATGGCTAGTTAGGAGGCAAATATTACCCTCAAATTATCCACATCAACACCCTGTCTTCCTGTCTCTTTGCCCTTCCTGCCTGCGCTAAGGATAACATAAAAGCTAGGTCAGCGCTAACCGGTCCGGACTAAGAGGATTCGGAATCGTACCAGACCACCCCAGAACTACGATACAGAGCTTCAAATAGCCGGTGTTGGACAAGAGCGCTTAGCATGCCCATTCCACCTACTCTCAAGCAAGGAATTGTCCATCCTACCTCCTCTTCCCCCAAGCCTATTATGTAGCCGTTCTCGTCACATCGCACCAACCCCCCACCCCAGCCAGCGAAAAATCCTCCAAATATAGCCCCTCCCTCCCTACTGCCTGCTTTTTTCGTCTTCACTCTACCACCTTACAAGGTGAGCTAGCCAAATTAACAAAAAAAACATTTGAGTCCTTGCCACTGCACTTACGGCCCAGTATGTTTCTAAAACTATTTCACCCTTCACCGGAAAGGTTGCATTGATGTAGGATGCGGCTTGACAAAACATATGGGAGAGTGCGAGAGCAAGAAAGGCTGTGATTTTATGGAAGGATAGTCGTTGGCAATCACGGGACCGTTTGAAAACAATGTGATGCAGACAAAAATCAAACTTATTGCTGCATGCTCTCGAGACTTCCTCTCCCGCTCTCCTCCCTTTATTTCTCTTCCATCCTATCCTTTGGAGGTATCGCCCAGAAGTAATCCCACGTCGGGATCTGCAGCCTACAATGGTCTCCTGTGGTAAGATCTCCCGTAAATTTTCCAACTAGCAACCAACAGCCCCTACCTCACCCCCTCTCCCTTTCCCCTCTCCGGAAGCCCCGCAATTTTCTTAGTATTATGCACTCCTTACCATTCTGGTGTTCTCTTGTAATGGATATATGGATTGCGATGGGCCTCGCTCACCAATGATAACACCTGCCCAACGTCAAGTACAAATGGGATAAAACCCATGACGACTTTATATTCCAAACATCGGACTATTT